GATCAGATTGTATATTCATATAGCATGCTATGGTGAAAGTTAGCCCTGAATAGAATATGCTGAGTCCTGTGTATCCTTCTGTCAAAGTCTCCAAATATGGGAGGAGGAGGTCTTGAAGATTGCTAATTTTGATGATAGAAAGTATTAAACTCTTATAATTGGATTTTAATTGTGTCTTTTTTCATTTTTATTTATTGCAAAACAGTATTGAATCCAGGGATGCTCTACCACTAAGCTACATCCCCAGCCCTTTAAATCAAAATTGGAAAAGAAACTACATAGAATTGCTATATTGTGGATTATTGTACAACATGATTCTATATGTTTACACATATTACATATGTCAGAAAAATAATGCAGATATTCTTTCTGTTGCTAACTTAAGTTTGAATCAGTGTTTTTTGTTGTTGTTTTTAAGTTACATGTTTTTACAAATTCTAGGTCAAATGCCTGATTCTGTGTATTATTTTGTCAGATTATCTATACGTTAATGCTCTTTTTTTTTTTATCAAGAGTTTATCTGTAATATTGGGAAAAAATAACAACCATTTGCATGGGCCATTTCCCCCTAGATTCTGTTAGTAATATCTGTCTCTTCAGGACATCAAATTAAAATTGATGGAGGTAGGCTGAGGTTGTGGCTCAGCGGTAGAGTGCTTGCCTAGCACATGTGAGGCGCTGGGTTCGATCTTCAGCACCACATAAAAGTAAAAACAGATAAAAATAAAGGTATTAAAAATTGATGAAGGTAGGTTTGTAAATTTCGGGGCAGAAAGATGAGAATTGCCATCTGATTGTGTCTCTTTGACCTCAATAAAGTTGAAGACTAGGAAGTTTTTGCTAAGTGAGTGAAGAGGTGAAGGAGTTGAAGGAAGGCTTAAGGATAGTGAAAAAGGTTTGAAATGTATGTGTGGAGAAGATGTAAATTAATTAAAAGGTGTAGTGGATAATGTTAGACCCAGTATGCTTGCTTCTGAAACTTTCTCCAGACATGGATAAAATGATTAATTGGATTCATCTAGGATTGGATTCTGCCAGAGGGGTGATGTTGTAGTGATTAAAGCTACGCACAAATATGCTGGTTCACCTCTTTCTTGGTACCTGGTAGGGTTTGCATGCCCCCACCCATTCTTTTCCAGTTAAAGTTCAATGTAGCCAGGTAACTTGTTTTGGTCAGTGAAATATGAGCAGATGTGATGTATAGTTCCAGGTGGAGCTTTAAGAACCAGCTCTGCATTTGCAACTTCCACCTTTTCCGTGTCTGTAGGAATTTTGGTAGGAAGCATTTTCTGAGATGCTGCCTCTTTAGCGTGGACACTAAAGGAGAATAGAAGTGACTAATCAAGCAAGTTGGAAGAACTGGGAAATTGTGATCAGAGAAGGGAAAATTAGGAAATTTGGAAAGCGGAACTGAAAGCAGATGAGGAATGTTAGAGAGAGAAGGTACTTAGAGATGAGGTGGTCAAGGAACTCAAAGACTATTTTTCTATGACCCTGAATAAAGCCCTTAATTTGTTGCAACTTGATTCAATAATGATGATTCTTTATCTAAAGAAATGGCCTTTAGCTGGGGAAGTTGAGCATATGGTCAGCAGGTATGAGGCCTGGGGTTCTGTTTCTAGCAATAAATAAATAAATAAATAGATAGATAAATAGATAAATAAATAAATAACCAACCAACCAACCACTAAATTATAAACTTGAAATCTCTCTCCCCCCCCCCCCCCCCCAAATCAAGGATTGGACTCAGGGGCGCTCCACCACTGAGCCACATCCTCAGCACTATTTTGTATTTTATTTAGAGTCTGGGTCTCACTGAGTTGTGTAGGGCCTTGCTAAACTGCTGAGGCTGGCTTTGAACTTGCAATCCTCCTGTCTCAGCCTCCGGAGCCACTGGGATTTCAGGCATGTGCTGCTATGCCTGGCTGAAGGCTCTCTTTCTGAAACATTAAATGATAATATTCGGAGCTAGGTGCAGTGGCATAGCCCTATAATCCCAGTAATTTGGGATACTGAAGCAGGAGGATTGCCAAGTTTGAGGCCAGACTCAGCAACTTAGTGAAACCCTAAATAATTTAGCAAGACCCTGTCTCTAAATTTAAAAAAAAATATGGAGGGTGGGGAATGGGGATGTGACTCAATGGTTAAGCCCCTCTTGGGTTCAAGCCCCAGTACAAAAAAAAATGTTTCCACATGGAAGTGATACATGCTACTTAATACAGCACAACCTGTGTAATTTAGGGAGATCCAGTCTCAAAATATATAAGCTGGTGATATAGCTCAGTGGTAGAGCACCCCTGGGGTCAATACCCAGTTTTGCAATAAATAAACAAATATGAATGAGAATAAATATTCAGGAGTTAGTATTGAATCAAAAGATCCATTACTTTGATTATTAAAAAGTAACCACGAAAATTTTAATGTAGCTTAGTCACCTAGCAGGACAGTATTAGGTAGGTTTTAGGCTGACTACTCTAAAAGAGACTCTAAAATATAAAATTAAAAAAATAGCTTTCATCTAAAATCTTTAGAATTAACTGAGTTTTTAAGAAATATAAGTGATAGAGATAAAGGATACCATGAAGAAAGAGACAAATTCAGTGTGGGACATTATATTATATAACTTTGCCACTGAAAAAGTGTTGCATGGGCCCCCAGTAATGGCTTCAATTTGGAACTTGTTAGGCAAAAATCTTAGGTATTGTGCTAGACTCATTAAATCAGAATCCACATTTGAATAAGATCCGCAAGGTGACTTATGTGCACTGCCACTATCTTTTTAAAAAGCCAGGGTCCTTGGCAAGTATAAGGTTGGAAGAACTATTCTAGATTAAAAGATAACAGGAAAAAAAAAGTATAAGAATACTAAAGAAACATAAGTAATATAAAGTACAAGCCTTGATTGAAACCTTATTTAAAAAGCCAATTATAGAAAACACTTTTGGGTCAACTAAGGAAATTAGACTAGGATAGAAGATGATATTAGAGAAGTGTTAATTTTCTTAGATATGATAATGATCTAGTTATATAGGAGTTTTTTTTTTAATTTTCAATGATACATGCTTAAGTATTTAGGGGTGAATTTTCATTATCTGTGCAACTTATTTTCAAATATTTCAGCAAAAAAAGAAATATGCTGCCAGGTGCAGTGGCTCATGCTTGTAATCCCAATGGCTTGGGAGGTAGAGGTAGGAGGATAGGACAGCAAGTTCAAAGCCAGCCTCAGCAACTTAGCAAGGCTCTAAGCAACTCAGTGAGACCCTGTCTCTAAATGAAATACAAAAAAGGGCTGGGGATATGGCTTAGTGGTTAAGTGCCTCTGGGTTCAATCCCTGGTACCAAAAAAAAAAGAAAGAAAAGGAAAAACACTCATATATGTCTATATATAATTGATTTTTCAGTGAAAGAAATATAGCAAAATGTTAATAGATGTGACATCTAGATAGTATATGAGTATTCATTATACTGCTTTTTTTCTTAATTTTTTTTTTTTTTAGTTGTAGTTGGGCACAATACCTTTATTTATTTATTTATTTATTTTTTAAAATGTGCTAAGGATTGAACCCAGAGCCTCCCACATGCTAGGCAAGCGCTATACTCCTGAGCCACAACCCCAGCCCTCTGCTCTTTTAACTTTATAGATGTTTAAAATTTTTCATAATAAGTTTGAGAAAAAATGTGGTTGCTTAAAAAGATAGAAATTTATTTATTTTTCTCAGTAATCAAGCTGTAGATAGTATAGCACAGGTAGGGGACTTTGCTTGGCTTATATCTTCTAACCCTAGTCCAGTGTGATATTCCAGGAGGGACACACAAATGTTTAGTCTCCTACTTTCTCCTTGCCATAAGGATGAGAGAAAGGACAAGAGGAGGACACATTGTCCAGAAGCAGCATTTATTTAACTTGCTGATTAAAACTTTTTTTTTCCCCCATTCACCTAGATGTCTCATATCTGGGGATATGTCTTAGTTAAGTCTGATATAAATTACTGTAGGCTGGGTGAATAATTTTTGTTTTATTTATTTTGGTACTGGGGATTCAACCCAGGGGTGCTTTACCACTGAGCTATATCCCCAGTCCTTTTTAAATTTTTTTATTATGAGATGGGGTCTTGCTGAATTTTTGAGGGGTTTTCTAAATTGCTGAGACTGACATCAAACTTGCAATCCTCCTGACTCAGCCTCCTAAGGAACTGGGATAATAGATGTGCCTATTGCACATGGTGTCTGGGTACCTTAAACCACAAACATTTCTCAGTACTGAAGGCTGGGAAGTTCAAGATCAAGGTGCTGGCAGATCTGTTGTTAGCAGGGCAATTTAGATCCCTGTTAAACAGACCTATTTGTCTTGGCCATGCTCTCCTTGTGTCTTGACAGATACTAGCCTAGCTTTCTGGCTGCTTTTTATAAGATCAGGAATCTCATTTTTGAGGGCTATACCCTTATGACCTTGTTAACCTCCCAAAGCTTTCATCTTCAAGTATTCTCATTTCAACAAATGAATATGGCTTGGAGAGAGGAGGACACACAAATGTTTAGTCTATAACAAGGTAGTTGGTTAAAGTCAAATGGAATGTAACATTCGAACATTGTCTGTGTTTTTGTGGGTGTGGGCATGGTATTGGGGATCAAACCCAGGGCTTCATGCATGCTAGGTGAGTACCTTACCATGGAGCTATATCCCTAGCCCATTTTAAAAAATTTGAGACAAGGTCTCACTAAGTTGCTGAGGCTGGCCTTGAACTTTAGATCCTCTTGCCTCAACCTCCCTAGTAGCTGGGATTACAGGTATGTGACACTGTGCTCGACATGTATATTAATTTGAATAAAGGTTTATTTTTTATATAGTGTTTCCATCTTTTTCCTCTGTTATTGATTAACTAAACCAATTAAAATTGAAGCCATTGTAGTTTTCATGTGTGTGAAATAAAATATATAAAATTTCAGTTTTGAAGATTAAAGTATATTCATTTTTTTTCCTTAAATCTTTTCAGTAATAACAGATGCGGGTAAAAGATCCATCCAAAGTTTTATCTGAGAAAGGCAAAAGAAATAAAAGGCCTTCGATACCTCATGATGAAGATTCTTCAGATGACATTGCTGGTAAATTATGATATCTAGCATCCCAAATGGTATTGGAGAAAAGAAGTAACAATGCATATTTTTAATTGATGATCCATTACTGTTTATTTTCACTGTTTCTGTATAAAGTTGAGGATTGTCTAATTTCAAGCTCTGATTGTTTTTTCTTGTTGTTGTTTTTTTGTGGTGCTGGGGATTGAACCCAGAGCCTTGTGCATGTGAGGCAAGCACTCTATCAACTGATCTATATCCCCAACCCCCTGATTGGGTTTTTATTGGAATTTTTGTTTAGCTTATAAAGTAAATAAGAATTAGTGCTTTTTTTTTTTTTGGTTCCTTTTTTATAGTCTCCAAGCCAATAGAGAATGGGCAGATAGTGACCCTTTAGGTCTGTTGACTTTACAACTTGCTTTTCTCTGAAGCCTCATACCTTATGTTTTGGTGTCTGATGGTTTTCTTCATTTCCTCGCAGGTTATCTCTCCATTTATAAATAAGTTTTATTTTGTCCATTTTAAATGTTAGTGCTTCAAGATGGCTAGCTTGTGGGGCTGTCATTAGAGCTCAGTAGTAGAGCGCTTGCCTCATGTGAGACCCTGGGCTTGATCCTCAGCGCCAAGTAAAAATAAGTAAATAAAAATAAAGATATTGTGTCCATCTACAACTAAAAAAAAAAAAAAAAAAAGATGGCTAGCTTGCTATAGTGAAGGAAGTCTGAATTTTAAAAAAAAAATTTTTTTAATAACTTTATTTATTTACTTTTTATGTGGTGCTAAGGATCGACCCCAGGGCCTCACCCCTGTTAGGCAAGTGCTACAGCCCCAGCCCCTGAATTGTTTTTTTTTTATTGTTGTTGTTACTGTTGTTTGTGGTGCTTGGGGTGGAACCCAGAACCTCAGGTATGCTGGGCAAGCACTCTAGCACTGAGCTATACCCCTTGCTCCTGATTATTATTACATTAGTTCTCTTTTGATGGTTTTCCACAGTTATCACTTTCTCAGATTCTCTAAATTCTTTAAAATTCTTATTTCCTTTTCATTCTGCTTGCTGTTTTCATTTTTTCCCTTTATTGTCTGCCACAGTGTTTGTTTTATCTTATGTTCTTTTTAGTTTAGCCTTCATTTTTATGGTTTCATTTGTTTTTAATTCTACTTCTTTCTTGAACTGTGCCAGTCCCTTCGTATTATTTTGCCATCTTTTTCTAGAGTGGTTGTTTCTATTTTGTTTTTTATTTCATGGCAGCAATTGCTTTGCTGTTCGTTTTTCCCTTTTTTCTTTTCCCTTATCATAGAATCTGTGGCTTTGATTTCTCTTCGATTACTCATTCTTTGATGTAGGATTGCTTTTCTTGGATGAGCTAGTTTTAGAATATTTTTATAAGAAAGTGTTGTGATTTGGATGAATGTTTAATAAGGAACCCATGCATGTTAATCTTGTGGTCCCCAGGGTGGCACTCTTTGGAGGTAGCATGCAGTGGGAAGTTCTTAAGTAATTAGTGACATGCTCTAGGGGCTGTGGGTCCCTAGCCCATCCTCTTTCTTCTTGCTTCTTGTCTCAAGAGGTAAGTAGTTTGCTCTGCTACATGCTTTCACCATGTTGTTCCAATTCCTGTCCAGAGACCCAAAGCAGTGAAGCCACTTACTTTTGGACTGGAACTTCCAGAACCATGAGCAAAAGTAAACCTTTTATCATTATAAGTTAATTAATTTGTCATTATAAGTTAATTCTCTCAGGTATTTGACTAATACAGGGGTGAGAACTTTGTTGAGTCCTATCTAGTTTTGACTTTGAGATCATATCATAGCCTTTACTTTTTTGTGGCTAAGAGGGTTATGCAATCCTAGTTTTTTTCAGAACTAAAATACCTCTTCTCCCTAACTGCCATAGAGACAATACAATTTCCTGATAATATGTTTTGCTTTCTTTTTATTCACTTAATGAACGAGAAATTCCTTTCTTTTCAAAACAAAATTGGATATGGGGAGCTCCTGCCACTGTTGTTAATATGTAGCTATTTAGATTTTGCTATGTATCTAAGAAGCATATGTTTATGAAATCTACAGCTGCATTATTCTCTCTGCTTTCTTCTATGTGCACTTCTATCTGATATCTACTGCTTTGAGATGTGAGCCCTGCCACTTAATTCATGACTTGGGACTTCAGCTATCTGCTGTTTTCTTCCCATTCTTACTGCCTTTTGAAAATTTCTGGGTGAAAAAGAGGGAAGTGTCTATTTTTATGATAGCATTTTCTTTTTTTTAATTTTTTATTGTTGGTTATTCAAAACATTACATAGTTTGATAGCATTTTCAAATTTGAAAAATTTCTTATAAATTTTTTCTTAATATTTTAAATTGAAAACAAAGATTTCAGTTATTGTTTTTGATTTGTTTAATGTAAAAACACTTAGACTTTAATCTAATTTTATATTCATGGATCCCTAAGGATTTATTTTTCATTATACAATGAAACTAATTATAATAAACTGAAGAAATTTACTTATTAAAATAAAGGAATTTTTTTAACTTATTCTTCCCAGAAGAGATAGTGAATACTGTTTAAACAGCAGTTACTTACTATAGGAAGATTTTAGGCTGGAAAATTCAGTGCTGGAAATGGAACCCAGGCCTTGCACATGACAAGCACTCTATATACTGAGCTATATCCCAGCTCCTGGTTGAGATCTTTAAAAGCTAATAGATTTAATTTAGGTCCTGGAAACTTTTTGAGTTCACTTATCTCCGAAATCCTTAATAGTTTTAATTTTAAAAGTCTGAATAGTACAATCAGAGAATGTTTAAATTGTACCCTGGGTGGATCCCATTTTAGAGATTATGTAGAAAGGTATGTAGAATGGTTTTCCCCTTAGAATTTTGAAATATAAAGTTCAAACAAAGCAATGACATTTGGTAAATCATTTTTAGATCCTTTACATGCTGCTTATTCATCAATCTTCCCCAGAATTATTCTTTTCTTGGTGGCATGGGTGTTTGTTTTTGAGAGACACAACTGACTTCAGAATTACTTCTTTTATATTTGTTTATATAGCTTGCTATTGAGGACTTAAAAATGTATTTGCCTAGGGGGTTGTGGCTCAGTGGTAGAGAGCTTGCCTAGGATGTGTGAGGCATCTCCTATAAATAAATAAAATAAAGGTCCATTGAAAACTAAAAAAATGTATTTGCCTAGTTTTGGCCAAAATATCTCCAAACGGAGCACACAGTAGAAGCTGTTATAAAGGATCATTTGAGAGCAAACAAAATAATTTGTTATTTGAAAATATTCATTAAGGAGAATCCTGAGAACTCCGGGTTCTTTAAATTATACCATTGTTCCTCTTTCTTCTTTTTCCCAACAATGATGAAAATAGCAACATAGCAAAGCTAATATATGTATAATGATTTTATATATGTATTCCCCCACCCTCCTTTTTTTTTTTTCAATACTGGGGATCATCCTGGGCTTTGTGTAGCTAGGCAAACTTGCTCTACCACTAAACCATATCCCCAGCCCTCCTTTTGGTGCTAGAAATTGAGTTCAGGATCCTGTACATGCTAAGCTGCCACCAAGCTACACTTCCAACCCCTGTATGTGTATCTTAATGGATAGAAAATAGTAAAAAATGCTTGACACATAGTAGCCATTCAATAAATAATCTCCTTTTGTTTTTATTTTTGAACTCATTTTAAATTTGTAGGAAGATACAAAGAAACACAGTGTTTTAATCAGCTGTTTTCCCACTGTGACTAAAAGACCCAACCAGAACAATTATAGAGGAGGAAAAGTTTATTTGGGGGAAAAGTTTGTTTGGGGGCTTATGGTTTCAGAGGTCTCAGTCGATAGACAGCTCCATTCCTTGGGGCTGGAGATGAGGCAGAACAACATGGTGGAAGAGTGTGGCAAGGGGAAACAGTTCACATGATGATCAGGAATCAGAAAAAAAGGTCCTCACTTGCCAAATACAAATATACAAAAGCCCCACTTAATTCAGCCCCACCCCATGTGCCTTCAGTCACCACCCAGATGATGGGATTAACTTAATCCCATCAGATGGTTGATTCACTGAGTTAAGATTTTTGTAAATCATTCATTTTTTCTCTTAAACCTTACATGGTCTCACATGTGAGCTTTTGGGGGATACCTCACATCCAAACCATAACATACAGTGAGGTCCCATTCATCTGTCACTCAGCCTTCCCTGATGTTAGCATCTTATATTGATTTAGTACAGTATCAAAACCAGTTGTATAATCCTTAGTTTATTCAGATTTTACCTGATGATGATGATGATGATGATGATGATGGTGGTGTGTGTGTATGTGTGTGTGTGTCTGCAGTTTTATTACATGTGGAGCTTTGCATATTTCAAGGAATTTGACTGTACCACTCTCACCACCACTCTGTGTGTTACCCATTTATATCCACCCCCTTCTTTGTTCATATTCCCTAATTTGTTCAACTCCCGAATTGTTAATTCACAGATGTTATATAAATGGATTTGTGTAACATGTGTCCTTCTGATTTATTTCATTTTTGAATCCCTTTGCTTTTTAGTTAACAGCATTTTAATGCTATGGACTTTGCCTTCCTAATAATAGCAGTAGTATAGCCAAGAAAAAAAAAAGTTCACATTTTGTTTCATCTTGTTCAGGAGGTTTAACTTGCCAACATGTAAGTCATGCTGTTAGTGTGAATCATGTGAAGAGAGCAGTAGCTGAGAATCTATGGTCAGTTTGTTCAGAATGTTTAAAGGAAAGAAGATTCTATGAAGGACAGCCAGTACTTTCTTCAGATACTTGGTTGTGCCTCAAGTGTGGTTTTCAGGTAAGAAAAGTATTATTTATAGTAAGTATGTTTTATACCTTTCCTTAAATGCTTACTGTGAGTGGGACATAGTCATGCCTAGGACTTAAGTTTATTCCATTCTTAGATTGAAACTTTCCAGAAATAAACTTGGAAATGTTTTAGGTAAAGTAAGATATATGATATGTTCAGAAAGTAATTGTGTTGTTCATAAATATTTGAAAAGGGAATCTCACTCACTTGTGATAGTTCTTATTTCTGGACCTTTTAATCCTTTAACCTTTTGTTTTTACTTAGGAAAGGGATCCAACTTTTTAGATTCATTTTCTACTCTCAAAGATTATTCTGCTTTTTTAAAAAAAGTTTAGATAACTTGAGTATATCTAGAAGTTTAGAAGTTATTGTTATCTATAATAAAATAATATTCTAATTAAATTAAAAATGTGTACTTAGGGGAAAAAAAAAGAGCAGTCTCTATTATCTCAAATAGAAGTCCAGAAGTTGGGCCCCTTCATGGTTAGTTATTTCAAGAGAAAAAAATAGTAAAGGCTGAGGCTTCTATTTTTCTGCTGGGCTGTATCTAATTTTACAGTTTCAAGATGACTGAAGATACTTTAGGCATTATGAATCACAGAAATTGCCAAAGCTCATAAAGAGGGGGAAAGAATATATCCCTTACATTTTTTCTTTTTTTGGTACCAGGGATTGAACCCAGAGGCACTTTGCAACTGAGTCACATCCCAGCCCTTTTTATATTTTATTTTGAGAGAGGTCTCACTGAATTGCTTAGGGCCTTGCTATGTTGCTAAGTCTGTCTTTGAACTTGTGATCCTCCTTGCCTCAGCCTCCTAGCCACCGCACCAAGCCTATCCCTTTCCTTTTAAACATATATACAACTTCCCCAGAAATATCCATCAGACTTGACTCTCTCTCAAGTTATGTTAGCAAGAATTATAGTATATCATTTCTTTACTTAACTAAGTGGAGGAAATTATTATGTTTGGTCTGTGTCTCATTAGTTCACAGAGGGGCTGCAGTGGAAATGTATACAGGAATAGGGAATATATTTGGGGAGGGGCACTACTGACCTACCAGGATGATCTGTGTCCCACACTATGCAAGACAATAAATAAATTTCTAAATGATAGGGAAATTAACTTTGCTTATGATTGTTTTAGGCAAATACTATATCATGAAAAGTAAATTAGTCTCTACAAAAATTAAATTTAATAAGAATCTATTGCTTTCTGAAACAGTTCCCCTTTGCTTGGAAGTTAAGACAATTTTTTTGTATTTTTGAGTACAGGTTACGTTTTGACTAATTCAAAACAAACTGTGTAAATCATACAAATAGTATTCTGTCATTTTCAGGGATGTGGTCAAAATTCAGAAAGCCAGCACTCACTGAAGCATTTCAAGAGTTTCAGAGCAGAGTCCCATTGTATTATAATTAGTCTGAGCACGTGGATTATATGGTAAGTTAAATTTTGTTAGTACTGGTGTAAACAAACCAAAAACCAAGATCTTTTTCTTTGAGCTTTATAAGGTAACATAAAGATGTAATACCCATATATGCTATTTAAACCTGAACACAATCTATAGAAGTTTTTGTTTTTTGGGGAAAGGCCTAGGAGTTGAACCCAGGGCCTTGATCATGCTAGGCAAGTGCTCTACCACTGAGCTACCTCCCCAGTACCCTCCCCCTTTGTAACAATCTTGAGAGAGGGTCTGGCTAGATTGCCCAGGCTAGTCTGTAACTTGAGATCCTCCTCCCTTATCTTCCTGAGTATGTGAGATTATAGGCATGTTTCACCATGCCTAGTTCATAGGATAATTATAGAAAATCACTGTTACCCATGAACATAAAATTTAAATGAGGGGAAAAATCTATTTTTTTTCCTACTTTTCTCTATCATTTTCCTTATACCATAAAGAAAAATTCTGTCTGGTAGAGTTTTCATAATTAACTTGTTACAGAATTCTGGAGTTTTAGTGAAGGAAGTTACTTCAAGCAGTCCAGGTGATTTGGTGATTTCTATAGTGAAAGGGAAAGCCTGAGCTTAAGTATTTTATAAGAACTTCTCAGGTGACTCTGCTACTTAACCCTGGTAGACCTCCTAGTCAGTTTCTTCATTTTATTTGTAAGGAAACTGAGTAACATTTAATTTTTGTTTGGTTACAAAGTAAAAATTTAGGCACCAAAATAAGTTTTTTTATTCCCTAATGTGTTACCAGCATACCATATGTTTTAGTGGTGTAAGTGAGACACTTTTGTTAAACCATGATGCAAAAAAAAAAAAAAAAAAGACCACCAACTCCAATTTAAATCAAATTAAAGCAAGCTTGTAATTCTAACCGGCTGGGGCTGTCTCTCCTGAAACCCATGGGAATAGAAGACAGCCCTCCAGCTCTCTAGGAGCATAGTTTTATAGCACCAAAATGTTGCAAAAGTGGGGGGTCTTGAGAACTTAACAGATAACAGGATTTTGACAAGCATAATACAAAGGCAGGTAGTAGGTTAATGGTCTAAATGGTTCAGCACTTAGGGAGTAAATTTAGATCCCAACACCAGAATTTATGAGGCGCCACTAGAGTTTCAGAGAGGGTCGTTATCTGCCCAGGGAAAGCCAGAATTTATGAGGTGCCACTAAAGTTTCAGAGAGGGTTGTTACCTGGTCAGGGAAAGCCAGGCATGGGTGAGTTCAAGGCATGGGCAGGTATTCCAAGCAAGTTTAGAAATTGCAGTACTTTATAGTAAAGGCAAAAAATTAACTTTTTATGCCTTTGTGACAAGATGACTCCCAATCTTATGAGGGAATTAGGCTGGGTTTATCACTTTCCCTGTATTTTACAACAATAATCTTCTAACTGGAGTCTGTAGCCTCAGGGTCCCTTGAATGTATTTTCTGGAGTTTTCAAATTTTAAGACAAACATTTTAACTTATGTATGATTTTAGGATTCCAAAATTAATACAAAGATATTTTGGCTCATTTTGGTGTTTGCTGCATTTTTTATTTTTTTGTTTGTTTGTTTGTTTTCGTTGTTGTTGTTGGGAGTCTGAGGAAAGAGTAGAGAGAACTTAAATGAGGGGAAAAAGTATGTAAATGTAAATGATGCATTGGAGTTAAGCGACAAGGAGATGATGTCATAGTATTGCAGCTAAATAAAGATTTTACTGTGGTCATGTCACATTGTGTGATGCATCAGAATCACCTGGAATATTTTTTAAGACAGATTTCTGGGTCCCAGGCCTAGAGATTGTGATTTAGTAGTCTGGGGTGGGGCCTGAGAGTTTGCATGCCCAGCAAGTTCCTAAGTGTTGCCAATACTGCTGGTCCAGGAACCACAGTTTGAGAACCACTGAAATTAAAGGGAAAAAAAAAAAAGAATTGCCAGGAAAATTGGTAAAATAGGCTCATCTCAAATCAATCTGCTCTGTTGTAAGTACCGTATGAATTGTGGTTTTAATTTTTAGCCAAGTAGACTTAGCCAGCATAATAAATTAGTGTTAGTTTTAACTTATTTGGGTTTGTGATTTTATTTTTACATTTAATTATCTAATTTATTTTGTTTTTATAGTTATATGAGTTTGGGTGTGTGTTACAATTATAATGAAAATAACTAAAGTCATATTTGAAAGTCTATAGAATTATTTTCCTATGAAAGAAGATATTCAAGTTTGTCAAATATAATTATAGGAATTTAAATGTTGTCCTATTTTAGTTTTTCTAATTTTTTTCTTTTTATTATTATTTTTTACTTGTTCTAATTAGTTATACATGATAGCAGAATGCATTTCAATTCATTGTATACAAATGGAGCACAACTTGACATTTCTCTGGTTGTACACGATGTAGAGTCATACCACATGTACTCGTTTTTCTAATTTTTTTTTTAAAGGAGAGAGAGAGAGAGAGAGAGAGAGAGAGAATGAATCTTTTTTGTAGATGGCACAACACAATGCCTTTATTTTTATGTGGTGCTGAGAATCGAACCCGGGTCCCGCTAAGTGAGCGCTCTACTGCTGAGCCACAATCCCAGCCCCATCATTTTTCTAATTCTTAAGCAATAAAAAACAATGATTTCAGTAGAATACTTTACTAGTTTGGATTAGAGGAAAGCCAACCTGAATTAGAGAAAAAAATTAATTTAATTACTGCTAACAAGGTTAAGGTTGCTAGATAGTGGATATAATACTACTCAAAGCACAGTGGTTCTTACCTCTGATTTCACATTAGAATCATACTGGAGTGTTTTGAAAAATCTGTAGGTACCAATGGTCTTTTCTTAAATAACATCTATTAAATCAGGGTTCTGTATTTTTTTAGTTTTGTTGGTGACTATGAAGCCTAAACAGAGTGAAGAAGCAGTACTTAAAGTTAACATATAAACATTTAAAGTATTCAAAAGTTTGTTGATGGAACATTTATTTCCTTTGTATTCTTGTTACATAACTGATTTATGAGCCCTCCTATTTCACATTCTCATCTGTAAAAAGAAAATATATGAAGATAATCTATTTTTTTAAAGAGAGAGAGAGAGAGAGAGAGAGTGAGTTAATATTTTTAGTTTTCGGCGGACACAACATCTTTGTTTGTATGTGGTGCTGAGGATTGAATCCGGGCAGCACGCATGCCAGGTGAGCGCACTACCGCTTGAGCCACATCCCCAGCCCATGAAAATAATCTATTTTTAAAAGTAATTCTTTTGTGATTTTATGAGGAATTAAACCAGATAATGCATGCAAATTTAGAACAGACTCTGGTATATAGTAGGTGCTCAATTAAAATTTGGGGGGTTATTTTTAGTGGAAACTAGAATTAAATTATTCTGAGCTCTCTCTTTTCTCCAAATTCACCATATCATCTTGACTTTTTATTTTTTTTGTACTGGGGATTTAACCCAGGGTGCTTTACCACTGAGTCACCAATCCAGTCCTTTTTATTTTTTATTTTGATTCAGGGTCTTACAAAGTTGCTTAGAGCACTACTAAGTTGCTGAGGCTGGCTTAGAACTTGTGATCCTCCTCCCTCAACCTCCAGAATTATTGGGATTGATCCTCCTCCCTCAGTCTCCAGATTTGTTGGATTATAGGTGTGTGTCACCACACCCAACCCATGTTGGCTTTATTTACTTGCTTTTTTTTTTTTTTTTTTTTAATACTTTCAAAGTTAGTATATTCTATAGCAAGTAAAACAAATCACAATAACAGTAAAAATTTCTTTATATTTTATTATTTGGAAAATGAAAATATTTTACATTTTGTTATTTATTTTGGGCACCAGGAATTGAACCCAGGGGCACTTAACCACGGAGCCACACCCCTATCCCTTTTTTGTATTTTAGTTAGAGACAGGGATTTGCTGTATTGCTTGGGGCCTCATTAAGTTGCTGAGGCTTCCTTTGAACTTGCAGTCCTCCTGCCTTAGCCTCCCAAGTCACTGGGATTACAGGTGTGTGCCGCCAAACCCAGCTCCATATATTTTGTTATTTTTGACAATAGTTAAATGAATAAATATTGGGTACCTATTAAAATGTAAGTTTTGTATTGTAATTAAATTGTTTAAATTCCTCCGTGGTTTATTGAAAGATAATGTTTTAAGGGATGTTTTCTGTGACTTCTTTTTTCTTTCTAGTAATAGAGTGGGTACTCAGTAAAAACTGAATTTTGAATGCTTTTTATAAAAGAAACCCAAATCTAGCTTATAGCCATTAATAATCTCAGGACCACTAATAATTAAAGAGACAAGATTGAATATGTAAGGTAGTGTTTGGTATAACCCATTATGTTTATAAAACAGTTTCAAACACATATTCTTATTTGATCATTGGATCCATGAAGATAAAGGAAACAGGTAAGGGCAATATAAAGAAAAAAAACATCTTAAGGGGCTGGGGATATAGCTCAATTGGTAGAATGCTTGCCTAGCATGCACAAGGCCCTGGGTTCAATCCCTAGCACCACCCCCCAAAAAAAAAAGAAGAAACATCTTAATGCTTTAGGCACTAATAAAGAAACTTAATTGAGAATAGTTTTCTGAAATGTAATGTGCTTTAAAAAATCTCTTTCCTAATTTCTTACCTCCGAATAAGCCCCAAATTTAAAAAGTTTTGTCTTTCTTATATCCAGAGATAACCAAAAAATGTCTCTTACTAAACATTGGAAAATATCTCCTAGGGTGCACAATTGGTTCAAGTCGAGAATCACTTAACACACCTTGCCTGCTCCTCCCTTCCTATGGTAGTTATTTTGATACTTAACCTCTCCTGCATCCTTCATGTCTAATTCATTACTGTTTCTACCTGAAAATATAATTAAGTATGTTCATTTCTTTCCAGATTCACATTACTATGCTGATCTTGCTATTCCCATTACCTTTCAATTTAGTTTATCACATTAGTTGAAGTGAATATATTTATTTATTTATATTTGTATTTTAATTATGTAAATATTTTATATTATATTTATTTATATTTTTGCCTTGTACATGCTACCAAGTGAGCTATATCCCCAGCCTCTTAAGATGTTTTTTCTTTGTACCTGTTTCCTTTATCTTCATGGATCCAATGATCAAATAAGAATATGTGTTTGAAACTTTTATAAACATAATGGGTTATATCATTATATTTATATTTATAAATATAAATTAGGTCTTATTACTATCCTACTTAAAACATCCTCATAACATTCTATTACACTTAAGGAAAACTATCAGACTTGTTTTTTTTTTATTTCCCTGAAGTACAGGGGATTGAACTCAAGGATTCTTTTTTTTTTTTTTTTTTAAATATATTTTTAAAGTTGTAGACGGATACAATCTTTATTTATTTTTATGTGGTGCTAAGGATAGAACTCAGTGCCTCTTGTGTGTGAGGCAAGCACTCTACCACTGAGCTACAATCCCAGCCCAAGGATTCTTGAGCATACTAAGCAAGCTGTCTTTCAATGAGCTATACCCTGTCTCTACAAAACTTTTATGTCAACTCAGAGGCTCTGTATAAACTATTCCCTGTCTCTAGACTTACCTAATGCTTTCCCCTTTGTATTCCTCTTAGGTAATTTAAAGACAAGTGTGTTATCTAATGTGCAAAATTATTAAAGTTATTAATGTGCATAATATTTGCTTAAATTTTATTATTTTTTCAGGTGTTATGAGTGTGATGAAAAATTATCAACGCATTGTAATAAGAAGGTTTTGGCTCAGATAGTTGATTTTCTCCAGAAACATGTTTCTAAAACACAAACAAGTAAGTTAAGCAATTCCTAAAGGAATGTGTATTAAAATATGATATTTCATATTTCATATAAAAAGTTTGTAAATTCATAAAGATACCATAAGATTTCACTGTGACATCTCAGCCTATAATTTGAGTAAAGATGTTATGTCATACATGTCACACATGGCAAGCTCATAATGTTACTTTTTTTTTTTTTTTTTTTAAACTAGGGATTGAACTTGGGGCCTCATGCATGCTAGGCAAGCACTTTACCTCTGAGCTACATTCCCAGCTCTTATAATGTTATCTTGTGATGTGTTTATATAACCAATCTGAAAGGCTTATCATGGGTTTTTAAATCAGACAGTCCTGAGTTCGGGCTCCTCAATTTATTGATTCTGTGGCTTTTACTCTTTAGTTTTCTTACTACAAGATTAGAATGATAATTCTGTTTTATGGGGTTGTTTTGAAGCCTAGAGATAATATTTGGTAAAGATCTAGAAATAATGTATAAAAACACTTTCATAGTGCTTGATACACACTTTTGAAATGGTATCTTATTATTTGCTATGTAATTGCAGTGCATTTATGATACAAACCATCTAGAGTTAGGCTAGACTTTAGCTAGAGGCTCAAGTTACCCATAAGACTGTCCTCACTTCAGACACTAGAAAGCTCAAGGGTTTCCAGGTCATTGCATTTCTAACTAGCTACAAATTGGGGGGTTTTGCACTAGTTCTTAAGATTGAATACTTGTAACTGCAGTTTTATTATAGCAAAAAAATTTCAGCCAAATGAGACTTAGGCCAAGGTTTTGGAGGGTCACAAATATGAAGCTTCTCTGTCCGCTCTACAAAGAATGAGGATTCTGCCTCTCTCCACATACACACACCCCCAAATCCACTTCTGTAACAATGTGCAGAATTTTGTTAACCAAGGAAAAATCACTGGAGCTTTGGTGTTAAGTTTTCTGCGATTTCATTATTTAGGCATAATTGATTGAGTCACTGGCCACTTTGATTTAAATCAATATCTTGTACCCCAGCCAGCTAGCTAATCATGTTCCATTTTTTTCTGGCAGGGACAGGCCCCATCCTGAGTCATCTCTTTAGCATAAACTGTCCGGGTGACTTTAATGAGTCACTCTGTTAACATAAACCATTAACTGCAGTCCCAGGCCGGCCCCCCCCCCCCCCCCCCACCCCCCCCCCCCCCCCCAGGCCCACCCATGAATAACAAGCACCCTTTTCACTGTTGGAAATTCCAAGGATTTAAAGGGTACTTGCCAGGAAACTGGAACAAAGACCTGCCAATAATGTATTAGCATATACTTTGTTACTTATATTACTGTTACCTAACATAAAATTAATATACAAGTTCATATAAATTAAGAACATTGGGTCTGGGGTTGGGACTATGGTTCAGTGGTAGGGTGTTTGCCTAGCACATGTGAGGCACTGGATTTGATCCTCAGCACCTCATAGAAATAAATAAATAGATAGATAGATAGATAGATAAATAAAGATATTCTGTCCATCTATAACTAAAAAATAAATAAATAAATAAAGTATTTAGGGAACCAGTTTTTTTTTTCATCTGAAAATAGTGCCTCCAACATGCCAGGCATTATACTTATTAAGCATTTAGTAGTGAAAGAAAAATAGTCTTATTTTCCAATCTTGGGGTTTAGAGTATAGTGAGGGAAACAAAAAATAAGCAAATATATAACTTCTGGTAAAGCTGCAATGAAAAGGTTGCAGAGACATGTAGTAAGTAATCCATTAGTCACAATGATCAGGAGAGACCAATGTGACTGAAATGTAGTTTATTGGGAGAGAATAGAATGAGTTGAAGTTATGAGGTAGGGGGTCTGGTCATACTGTTAGGAATTCCATGATGAAGAATATTTATTTGAAAGTATAATATAAGTTATTAAAGTATTCTAAGCAGGGAAGTATTACAGTCATTTCACTCCCCCTTTCCCCCACTCAGCTACATTAAAAAAACCCACATGTGGTGGCAGGAGGATCATAAGTTTAAGGCTAGCCTCAGCAGACTTAGCATGACTTTGTCTCAAAATGAAATCGGCTGGGTATGTAGTTCAGTGTTAGAGTGCCTCTGGTTCAATCCTCCTCTTACCAGAAAAGTGAAGATAACTGATTACTCTATGGAGATAGACTATAAGGGGTTGAGTGGGGCTGCGTGGTGTTTCAGTCAGCTTTTTCATTGCTGTGACTTAAAGACTGGACCAAAACAACCGTAGAGGAGGAAAAGTTTATTTAGGGGCTCAAGATTTCAGAGGTCTTAGTGCATAGAAGCCTGGCTCCATTCCTCAGGGCTGGAGGTGAGGCAGAACACCGTGGCAGAAGGGTGTAGTAGAGGGAAGCAGTTCATGTGATGGTTAGAAAGCAAAGAGAGATCTCTACTCTTTAGATACAAGATATATACCCCCTAGCCACACCCCCAATAAACTACTTTCTTCAGCCACACCCCACCTGTCTTCAGTTACCACCCCGTTAATCCCATCAGGGATTAATTCACTAATTAGGTAAAGGCTATGACCCTATCATTTCTCCTCTAAACCTCTTGCATTGTTCTTACCTGTGAGCTTTTGGGGGACACCTCATATCCAAACCATAACAGGTGGGGAGATCATTAAGAAGGTTAAAGGAGGCTATGTAATAGGGCAAACGAAAGACTAGTAGAAGCTGTGGTGGAAAGTGGGTGGGTTAGATATAGTGAATGAGGGAAAAAGTGAGAATTAAATCCAAACCTAGGGATTTTGATTGAGCAATTAAGTAAGGGGGAGTGAGTGAACATGGTAAGCGTGAGATCCCTTTGAAGTAAACTGAACTGAAACTGAAAAGTTATGTAGAAATATGGTTGCCCAAAAGGAAAAATATTGTTGCCAGTTATATCTCCTATGTATCTCCGATAATACAATTGTTTTTGTTGAAAAGTTCAGAAGTAGAGTGATACTTAGTTGGGAGTTCAGTTTCCAGAAGTTCTAGAGCAAAAAATGTTCAGTTGAAAAGCTATGTATCACCGTAATGAAACAGTAATGGTGAAGAAATTGGAGAAACTAGAAGTAAACTCAGGCTCTTGGACAACAAAAGAAATGATGAATTTTACCACGCATTTGTTAACTAAATTCAACAAACACTCATTGGATTTTTCCTTTTGCTCAGGCATGCCAGTCATAAATCCATTTCTTCTCTAACAAAGGATCAGCAAAATGTAGTGAAAGATATCTTATTATTTTATTTTTTGTGGTACTGGTGATTGAACCCAGCACCGTAACCATGCGAGGCAAGCATTCTACCCCTGAGCTCCATTCCCGACTCTTTTTTATTTTGAGTCAGGGTCTCACTAAGTTGCTCAGGGTGGTCTCCAATTTATGATCCTCTTGCTTCAGCCTCCCAAGCCTTTGGGATTACATGCATGTGTCACCATCTCCAGCTGGTAAAAACATTTAATACTTTAGAAAATGAAGTTGGTTGATATTCAAAGCTCTTCAGATATTCAAAGATGCACATAATGTTCAGTTGAAAAGGAAAGGAATTACAAGTGAGCTGGCTTTCAAGCTGACCCTCAAAGGATGAATTTTGGGCAGAGGAGAATAAATCACTTTAGGTGGTGGGAAACACTAATGGAAGGCTTAATTGTGTTTGTGGAACCATGAGTAGCACCTGGTAAATAGCGCTTGAGGAAGTTTGAAGGCATTCAGAGGTAGAGTGATACTTAGTTGGGAGTTCAGTTTCCAGAAGTTCTAGAGCAAAATGTTTTCGACTTTTTGGATCAAGCTACAGAATCTCTCAGGCAAGTTTGATTTAAATAGGATTTCTTGGTTGGCAGTTTAGAAGTTTTGGGGGTTAGTAATCCGCCATATTTGGATACAAAGTTTTTTTTTTAATAAATACTTTGAAAATCAAATATGAATGTTGCTATCTAGGCTTGTAAGAATACTGATATGATTTTGTAGTTATTTTTAAGTGATGATTGCGAAGACTCTAGAGATGTAAAAATGCCTATATGTCATAATTCAAAGGAATGTGAAACTAATATTATATCTGGGTGGGAGAGTAACAATGATTTTTAAAATATTATTTTTATATTTTTGCACTAAGTAAAAATAACTAAGGTGGAAGAAAGCCTGTATCTGTACCTTACACATATTTTTATGTTATTTAGTGCCTGCACTAATTCCATTTAGAATATGTCTACTATAGCTTATCTACACACACAATCTGGGCTAGTACCCCATCCATCTCTAAAAATAAGTAGCTTATGGAATCATTAAATTTTGCTCTCAGTACCACTTGAGGCTCTTAAAAAATTACTGATAATTCAAAGAATTTTTGTTATGTAGGTTATATCTGTCAGTGTTTATCATGATAGAAGTTAAAAACGGGTTTTTTTTAACCATCAAATATTCGGATTTTTATAATCGGAAACTGTGAAAGTTTGTAAATTGAAAATTTGTCAGTAGAGAAATTTCTGTGCTTGTAAAACAAAAACATGAATATTCACTGAAAAATAATTCCATGACATGCTAACACAAACATATTTTTAGGAAAGATATTTTCAAAATGAAAAAAAGAAATATTTTTACAAATATCTTCAGTGGCTAGCTTATTAAAAAACAACTAGATTCTCATTCGCTTTTGATTCAGTCATTGTGATATTGTATGTCCTGTAAGTCTCTGAAACCTGCATTGTACAATTGAGAGTGAGTGAAGGTTTTAAGAAGCAAATAACACCTTAGATTTATTAAGGAAAAGTATTTTGACCTTAAGGACCCCTGAAAGGAAAAGGGTGTCTTCCTACCCATTTGAGAACTGCTGACCTAACATTTGTCTATATTTTCCATCTTTAGCATTATTTATTTACTAACACTCAGAATCCTTCTTGAGGAAAGGATTGGGACAGTGTTCTCTTCTTTGAGACACTATGTGTATACAGCACACTTCAGAATCTAGTTAACACATTGTTTATGCTGTTTAGCTTTCTTGTACATATGTGTCTTATTT